GCCTTCATTTTTCTTCCTGATGTCACTTCAAGCTTGAATGTTCTGCTTCTGTCACTTGGATTCACTGTTGTTGAATTTTGCCTTTTTAGTTTTAATGTGTAGGATGGAAAAGATGTAACAGCTGTGAATTTCAATTCTGGTTCCTTCTCACATTCTTTGAGTAGTGTATTCTGTGTACACTACTTAGTACAGAGAGGTTTAGTAACAAGAGTTAGGATATTATCATGCTGATTACCTAACAGCAGCTCTCCACTAGGTATATGCATTAGAATTACTTGTGGAACTTTTAAAATGTACATTCTTGGACTCCACTCAAGACCTGTTGAATCAACATATCTAGGTTGGGGCTTGGGTGTTTTAAAATTCCGCTAGTGATTTTTATGTAAATATTCAGTTAAGAACTGGCTAATTAGAAGATCATCTCAAGCCACTGAGGCAGATCAATATTTATAAATATTTGTTTTGATAACCTCATGTCATTTCCCAAAAATTTTCAGTGACTTATTTCCAAAACCATCAAAATATAGCTTGACACTCAAGACCCATCTATGGCCACCCTAATTTACCTTTCTAATTATTTATTTTACCATTCTTTTTGAAAACAAATTCCTTCTATATTAAAATTATAGTTTCACATTATTTTTAACTGCCTACTACCCTTATGATGATCTATAATGACCTGTTCTCTTTCCACCTTTCTTTGATTTGTCACATTTGCTTTTCTTCTAAATTCTGCTAGTACCCTCAGCTAGAAGTCATGTTCCTTCTTTGAACTCCAGAACACGTTTGTGCTTTATTTTCCCACTGATCCCAGATCATGTGTGTGTTCAACTACCATTCATCTGTACTTCTTGATGACAGATTCTGTGTCTATGTGTCCAGCACCACTCACTCAATAAAAAGGTGCTTTGTACATAGTATATGATGAGTTGTGTGTATCTTGTAATCAAATACTGACTTTTTCAAGGATGTTTATGTAGTGATCAGCCTTATTATATTTCTGCAGAGCAAAGGACAGGTATGCTTACTGTTCGCTGTAATTAGAACAATGTTTCCATCTTGAACATGTCTACTTAGTTTATAGTAATGATAACATTACCTTCCAGAACAAGTATCAGTCTTGTTTCACATTATAAAAGGTTTGGGTTCCATAACCTCAAGGTTTCTCTCCTGTAATAAAACCCACTGCAGGTATAATTGTCACCTGGCCCTCTTTGTGTTACCCTATGGGATTTGGGGTTCAGGGAACTGACAAGCTGACTCTGGCCACTGATGTTGCCATTAGTAATAAAGTTCTTTGTCTCTGACCTAGGAGGCTTGTCTTGCATCTTTCAACATCCATGAAACTGTGGCAGGATAAATTGCTAACTACAAGTAGGGTAAAATCTCAGACCTCTAGCAGTTCTTGAAAGTAGAACACTCTTGTCTAACACTCTTGTCAGAAACGCAAAATGGGCCTTTCTTCAAGTAACTTTTTTTTTTTAAAGATTTACTTATTTATGCATACAAGAGCTGGGGCACAGGCCAGAGGTGTGGGGGGTGAGAGGATTCACCAGAGACAGAGCTGGGAACAGAACAGGCAGATTGATCAAAGTACACTGCTGAGGGGAGCAGTGGGCGAGCCAGGAGAGGTCTGCTGTGCCATGTGGGTTGCTTCCTGGCTGGCCGAGGCATCAAACTCATGCTGTAGAGGCTACGGACAGCTTCATAGGTTGTGTCTTAACACCTTGCGCCACCAGGGAGGCCTACTTCAAGTAACTCTCGTTAAATCTTAAGTATAGTTCTCTGGAAAGCTCCTAGATGAGGCTAGAATTCAGGTTCCGTATGGTTATTTACTATGCTCTCACCACTCTATTCTGTGAAACTAAATTTATTCAAGGGAATTTAAATGACTGTTACTTTAACGTCGTCCTAATATGAGATGATAACAGTGATCTCTTTCTCTTCCCAAAATAAAAACAGTATTATTTTATATGGGTGAGCTACACTGATAAACATGTTGATATTTTTTCTGCTTAAAGCTTAAGTCTGGAATGTATGTTGTCTTCAAAACAGAAAAGGGAATATTTGAGATGACTTTAAAAGAAACTTGTCTTTAGCATGACAATTTTAATGGTAAATAAACTACAAAACTATATAAGTAATAAAGCATAACATGTAAGATAATGACAAATGTTAAGGGGGAAAAAGGCAGGACAGTACAGTTTTAAAAATTTAGGTAAAATTGGTTAGGAAAGGCCTAACTGAGGTGGCATTTGAGTAAACAACTTAGGTAAGTTAATAGAGCAGCCATTTGATTAGGTAGCATTTGGACAGCAGGAAAACTTTGTAATTGTTTTAAACATCTTATATGAAAAGGAATTTGTATGTACTTGATTGTGTGTGAGTGGCAATAAAAAATTATTTTGCTTGAAATGTATCAGTAGGGTGTAGTATCATGTCAAGGTAGAGATGCTTGGTTTATTTATTCCTAGCTGGAGAAGAGTAATTAGAATTAAGGTTAGATATCAAGTACATGTGGGGCTTTAAAAAAGTTAAACGTTTTAGGGGCCTCCCTGATGGCACAAGGTGTTAAGACACAACCTATGAAGCTATCAGTAGCCACTGCAGCAAGGGTTCGATCCCTGGCCAGGGAGGTGACCCACATGGTGCAGCAGACCCCTCCTGACTTGCCCGCTGCTCCTCTCAGCAGTGTATTTCAGTCAGTCTGCCTGTTCTATTCCCCATTCTGTCTCTGGTGAATCCTCTCACCCTCCACACCTCTGGTCTGTACCCCAGTTCTTATATGTATAAATAAATAAATCTTTTTTTTTTTTTTGGTGGGACCCTCACCGGTGGCGGGGGAACAAACTGGTGCTGCAGAGGCTGCAGGCAGCCTTGCAGCCCAGCGCTCAACTGCTGCGCCACCAGGGGAGGCCCAGTAAATAAATCTTTTTAAAAAAAAGTTAAATGTTTGAGTACTTAACTATGTGTTGGACATTCAGTATTTGTATGATCTCTCTTAATCAGTCAGGTCAATTGGATTAGAAAGGAAGAATACCTATGTCCTTGACATTCAGGGTAAGAACCAAACTGGAGACCTAAGTGAAGCTTGATATAGATCGTGAGTTTCAGTGTAAAAATTTGGGTTTGAATCTCACCGCTTCTCCCCTTAATTAGTAGTTGTATTATCTTGAGCAAGTTATTCAACTCCTTACATCCTGTTAATTTTACATATTTAAGTGGGCAATAATAATACAATTTCAGTTGATTGGCAGTATTTGGTACTTGGCAAGCACTCAGTAAACAATAGCTGCTATGTGATTTAGACAGATCACAAAATTCAGCACCTCAGTTCTGACACCATTTTACAGGATTGATGTAAGGTTCAAAATGTGTATGTGGGAGCTGAAAGGATTGGCGCGGTAAAGAAAAGGAAAACCAAGCTAAATTTTTCACAGGCAGGAACTTTATTGTGCTCCCAGGTGAGGTTCGCCCGACCCCTAACGGGGTCGGAGAAGTCACACCTGTTGTGGGAGAGGGATGTCCTTTTATAGGGTGAGGAAAGGTTAGGTGGGAAACTGGGTTTCCAGGGCAGGGAAAGGTTTCAGGGTAGGGAAGGGCTTACAGGGCAGGGAAATGTTTCTGTCTGATTTTTTATATGTGGGCTTCCTCATTCCTGTGCCCTGCATCAACCTTTCAGGAGCATTTTAAAACAGAAAGCACTATACAAATACAATGAATATTGAATTCTAGTATGTTTTGTCTGAAGTATTTGAATTTACTTGATGGGTGAAGGGTTATGGATGGGTTAATGTTTGAGGGCCAGATTATGTAGAGTCTTGGTTGTAGCATGAGAAATTTAGATTTGAAGTCTTGAACTTTAGAAATTCAGCTACCTTATGGTCTTTAGAACAGGCAGATGAAATAATAAAAATGGCGATATGAGAATCTTGGCATCGGAGAGGCAGAAGCTAGAGGCTCAAAGATAAGATCTAGAAGGGCCTCCCTAGTGTCCTAGGAGTTAATATTAGCACTATCACTGCAAGGGCCTGAGTTTGATCCTGGCCAGGGAACTAACCCACACATGGCACAACAGACCTCTCCTGTCTTGCCCACTGCTCCCTTTAGCAGTGTATTTCAGTAAATCTGCCTGTTCTGCTCCCCACTGTATCTCTGTTGAATCTTCTCACCCCCACACCTCTGGCCTATACCTCAATTCTTCTATACACACACACACACACACACACACACACACAATAAATAAACAAACAAATAAATAAATAAAAATTGAGAATTTGTAGCCCCTTAAAAAAAAAAAAAATCAGATCTAGGAAACTGCTTTAGCCCAATTAATGGTAACCTAGATTAAAGAAATGACAGAGATGGAAAATCTGAGATGTGTCTAAGGAATTTTTGCAGTTTAATACAAGTTGAATGAAATAAGAAATAAGAAATAGAAATAAGAAAAATATAGAAATAAGAAAAATAAAGACTTCTTGAACTTTAACTTTGGAAATGGATTGATTCTATTTATTTAGATATAAAAGCTTAATAAGTTTGATGAAATAGCCTTGTGGCGATCTTGGGGATGACCAGACACTTTTGGTTTTAGGTATTTATTTGATTTCTTTATAATGTAGACCCAAGTAATTACAAAGAGAAAGCTGTTGGCAGAGGGTAGAAGTTTCCATAGTAAATTGTAAAGAATTTGATTTTAACCTAAGTAAATATATTAGAAATGTGATTAAATACTGTTTGTTCTGCAGCATTTAGTGGTGGTATTACTTTGAATTACATCAAAAAATGAATAGATGAAGAGATAGATGTGATATATCGAATGTAGCAAAATGTTAATGGTGGATTTAGATGTTAAGCACATGTATGTTCACTGTAACTTTTTGACTTTTTCATATATTTGAAAGTTTTAATAACAGCATGTTGGAGGAGGAACAGAACTAGAAATTTTTTGCTGTTGAGGATTTCCCTTCCCCGACCTAATACTTTTGTTTTCTCTGTAGGAACTTTCCACTGTACTTTTTGCCATACAGAGGTAGAAGAAGATGAATCAGCAATGCCTAAAAAAGATGCACGCACACTTTTGGCAAGGTTTAATGAACAAATTGAGCCCATATATAAATTGCTTCGGGAAACAGAAGATGTCAACTTGGCCTATGAAATACTTGAGCCAGAACCCACAGAAATACCAGCCTTGAAACAGAGGTAAGTGTTAGAAACACCTGTAAGCTCACAGTTGTTTTAACTTCTTTAAGTTGGACAGCAGGAGCGGGTAAGTAATTTATCAAGAGAGTTAAACTGTGATGTTCAAATAGATTCTGAGCTCTGCCTCACTTGTCTTATTAACTTGTGCCTGTGATGAAATTTGTGCTGAATGCAGAACAGTATGGGCCTTAGGCAAAAATCCTTAAATAGTCAGGTTTGACTTCAAGTCCTCACTCAGTTTAGGTCTGTTGCAATTCAGCCAATTGTTTGCGCCTCTTGGGAATATTTGAATGTTCCTAACCAAGTTCTGAAGTTTGAAGTTCTTTAAGTAACACAGCATTTGTTTTATTATTTTTGAAGCATTTTAACCATGCATTTCTTCTCTTCCGTAGTTTTCAATGCATTTTCCTTGACAGTTAAGTATAGTAGGTATTCTCCAGGAAATATTTCTTGCTGTGACTCCCTTTTTTTTGGTCAGTGCACCTTAATATACCTAAAGAGTATGTTATAAAAAGCTATGCCGTAAAAAGTAGTTTGTATTCTTTTTTGAAAAACATAAATGAGAATTGGATCTGGGAGAATGTTCCTACTTTGTCCTTTTTCTTTCTCCTTCCCCGTGTCAAGCTGAGGGTGTAGCGTATCCACCCATTCACTGCTGTCATTGAACCCATTATACAAAGTTGTAACTGTAGTTTTTAGGAGCACTGTTATTTCACACCTTCTGGTACTGATGTTATAGTTTGGGGCAGTTTTGAGCAAATTGAGTTTCTTTTGGATAGTTAAAAACAGTCCAGTTGTACAAAAAGTTAGTATCTGTGTGAGTTATTGTAAATTTTTTTACCTTGCCCCCTGTATCAGTTAGGATGCCTTACATAATAACAGAATACCCAACTAGAAGTAGCTTGAAGAGTAAGAAAAATTTATCTGGCATGACCAAAAGTCCTGAGGTAATATAGTTGAAAATTAATTTCATAGCTCAATTATATCCTCAGGGTTCTAGGTTTGTTCCATGTTTCTACTCTGCTCAATTCAGCCTGTTGGTTGTCCTCTTGGCCTTATGAGCAGAGCTAACCTAAGATGACCATATCTCTTTAGGTATATTGTGTAGATGAAATTGTCCAAATGCAGAAAAAGGGGCTGTCCTTTCCTTATGTCCTATTATAAGACTGAGGCTTCCCCAGAGGGTCACCTTCATTTCCCAGAATTGTTTTATGTGCTTATTTCTAAACAGTATCTGGCAAAGGAAGTGAGGTCACATGATTGGTGCTTTGACTAGTTAAGTTTTACCTCTTAGGCCTGGGGATGACCTCAGAGTCCTTTGGAACAAACAACCATCAGTATTTGAATGAAATCAGTAAGCAAAGGAGTGGCTTTTTGTTTCCATTTGTTTGGTCTGTTATCACAAATTTATTTTTTAAATATCTTTTTCTGTCCACTTATATAATAAAAGCCTATGAGAAAAATTGATTATATAAAAATAATTCTTTACACCTGTGTTATTTCTTATTAAAATATGTTTCACCTTACTCTGATTGCTTGCTACATGATATTATACTGTATGAATTATTCTTGTGTTTCCTCTTCTAACTATAGCTATTTTCCTGTTTGTTAAGATTCTTCCCTACTAAAACAGCATTTATTCACTGCCATCATTGTCATCCTGCCTCTATTGTTCCCCATTTCCACAGTCTACCTCTCATTTGAATGTCTTTATTTCAGTATCTCTTATTCCATGCTGAACACAAGTCTGAATGGTACAGTAATGCTAGAGGCTCATGGCAGCTGACTGTACCAAGTTACCTATTTCTTTTTTATTTTCACTTTAAAAATATTTTACATATGTTTTTTATTTATATATATATATATTACATCATTGCTCATTTTTAAATAATGTTTGCTCCCCACCCCCCAGGTGTAGTGCCCACAGAATTTCCTTCACCATTTCACCCATGCACCATCACCACAGTCCCCTGTGTTCCTCCCTCCCTCCCTTTGATCCCTCTCCCTCCTCCTTCCCTGCAGATGTCTCTGGTTTATAATTGTCTGTTTGTTTTTGTTTTGTTGTGTTTTGTATTGTTATTATTTTTTTCCCGTGATGTCTTATTTGGTTCTCCTATATTCCTCCTATTAGTGAAACTGTCCGATATTTTTCTTTTTCCTTCTGACTTATTTCACTGAGCATAATTCCTTCTAGCTCCATCCATGTTGCTGCAAAATGGCATTGGTTTATCTTTTTTGATTGCTGAATAGTATTACATTGTGTGTTATATATCACATCTTCTTGATCCAGTCATCTATTTTTGGGCAGTTGGGTTGTTTCCAGGTTTTATCTGTTATAAATAGGCAAGTCACCTATTTCTTATCAGAAATGACGGTGACTCCAGAAGTAAAAAAAGAATTAAAAAATAGAGGAAATAAATTGATAAGAGAATATACAATGGCATAGACTCAGGAAGAAAGGGGAAGTGGAGACAGGCAAGATAGATAGAATGGGGTAGCTGGAACTGCCATCTAGAACAAAGTACAGTTGCTTCCACTGATCAGAGGAAAGACCATTGGAGCCATGTTACAAGAACCATGGTTGAGATGGCTTCTGAGCATTTGACAAGCTCAACTGCCTGGATATAACATCCTGGAGATAGTGTTGATTTGGCCTTTCTGCTATAGGATCTGTTTCAGAGCATAACAGTTCTGTATTAGCCATCCTGCCCCAAATACAAGAAAAGAAATATCAGTAGAGTGATATGGGAGTCAGAAGCAATGTTAATTCGTTTATTTTATTTATTTATTTATTTATTTTATATTTATTTATTTATACAAGCACTGGGTACAGTCAAGTGCAGGAGGGTGAGAGAATTCACCAGAGCCAGAGCGGGGAGCAGAGCAGGTAGAAGAACCGAAGTACACTGCTGAGGGGAGCAGTGGGAGGCAGGAGAGGTCTGCGTGCCATGCGGGACCCTCCTCCTGTGGCCGGGGAGCAGCCGGGGATCGAACCCGCACTGCAGAGGCTGCGGGCAGCTTCGCAAGCCAGCACTCAACCGCTGCACCACCGGGCAGGCCCCATTTATTGTATTTTTTAAAAAATAAATGGCACAATTTAGTTTGATGACTAATGTATAAACCAGTTAAATTCTAGCCTATCTCTAGATCAGGAACCAGATGCTGCCTCTGCAGAGCTGTCAGTAGACTTAACTCAGGTGTTGATGGACAGCTCCACCCTTTAGGCAAGTCAGTCCATTGGTGATATTTAAAGTCTTCTTATCTTTTTTGAATGAAATTCCTTGTCATGAATTGCCACTTTTTTCATCTTTACGTAAAATCTATGCATTCTCTCCATAGAAGTTTAAATACGGGGCCTCCCCTGTGGCACAGCGGTTGAGCGCTGGGTTGCGAAGCTGCCTGCAGCCTCTGCAGCGCCGGTTCGATCCCTGGCTGCTCCCCGGCCACTGGAGGAGGGTCCCACATGGCGCGCAGACTTCTCCTGCAGCCCACCGCTCCCCTCAGCAGTGTGTTTCGTCAGTTTGCCTGTTCTGCTCCCCGCTCTGGCTCTGGTGAATTCTCTCACCCTCCTGCGCTTCTGACTGTACCCAGTGCTTGTCTAAATAAATAAATAAATCTTTAAAAAAAAAAAAAAAGAAGTTTAAATACGTAAAAATGAACTCTGGTGCCTCTCACCTAAATTTTCTTCAATATTAAATTTGCTGATTATTTAGATATGTCTGTGTCTGTTGTGAAGGTAGAAATCTATGTAGTTTAACTCTCCAAACTAAATTTTATCAAATTTTAAAATTTATTTGACTTGTGATCAGATCGCTCACAAAAAATCTCGTTTGTATAATGGGGTACTGAAAACAAAAGACTTAAGTATTTTTCATGCTAACATTTATTTGAATTGTCCTGTTATTTTTCCGCTTTTCATTTTGTTCTTCTCTACTCAAAATATTGAGTGCTTGCTAACCTTCTGGAGATAGTCTTTAGAGTCAATGGTAAAGATAGCACATAGCTGAAAATTATATGTAGAGAGAAACAGAGTAGCTTCAGAAAGAATGAGTGTATCTATTAAGAATCTGGAGAAGAGGGGCCTCCCTGGTGGCGCAGCGGTTGAGCGCTGGGTTGAGAAGCTGCACGCAGCCTCTGTGGTGCCGGTTCGATCCCCGGCTGCTCCCCGGCCTCCGGAGGAGGGTCCCACATGGCGCGCAGACCTCTCCTGCTGCCCGCTGCTCCCCTCAGCAGTGTACTTTGGTCCTTCTGCCTGCTCTGCTCCCCGTTCTGGCTCTGGTGAATTCTCTCACCCTCCCGCACTTCTGACTGTACCCAGTGCATGTATAAACAAAAACAAAACAAACAAATAAATAAATAAATAAAACATGCCTCTATTAAAAAAAAAAAAAAAGAATCTGGAGAAGAGACAGATTAGAGAAATATTCAGTGGGTAGAGGGAGACAGAAAAAGGTATATGGTTAGCTCAGGAAGACATATTTGGGGACAAACAGTTATGTAGAGCAGATTCAATATAAGATCAGGACATTGAGGATAGAAACATTACAAGGAGTCAAGGAGACAACTGGATGAGAGAGAAGAGATGCAGAGTGTAAAGTAAGCACAAAAACATAAATATAGATCTGGTTGAGAGAGAAGAGAAGATAAAGAAAAGTGAATGCTTGAGCAGACCAGCTTTTAAACAGCCAGTTTATATCAGAGGAAAAAGTAAGCAGAGTCAGAGTATAGTGAAAACACCAAAACAGCCTTTTAAAAGACAATATGGAACAGGTAGAAGATAGAAAGAGAATGACTAGAGACAGATATGAATTAAATTGAGACAAACAGTAAATATAGCATAAGTGACATTAGATGAATGCAGAAAGAAATAGAAAGTAGAGAGAATCCAGATACTTGCGATGAGAGCATAGTACTTATAAATACAGCAAGATACAGATGGATTGGCTACAGAGAGATGCCGAGTAGGCCTGAAGAGTGGAAGAACAAATAACTGGTACAGAGCAGAGTGATTTACATAGCAGCCCTGGAAACAGATAGAGGCAGTAGCTTGCGGGCATGGATTAAATGACTGGATCTGTATGGAGGGGACTACTGGAAGAATACATTTCTTGATAGCAAAAGTGGCAGTGGACCTATAGATATCCAGAGGCAGAACAGGAGTGAGCCCAAGATCATCTTCAGAGGATGGTCAGAAACACAGTGTTTTTAGGAAGGGAGAACAGATAATTGCGCAGAAATATACATCGGAGAAACCTCAACTATGCGTGAGACCAAAAGCTCAAGTAGATATAAGTGTACTCTGGAAGAAATAAAAGTAATGAAGTAAGCAAAAATGAAGTAGGAACACAGAGAAGGAAGAAATAGTTAATGGTTTCTGAAAGAAAGAAGTGGTACAAGACAAAAATACAGGTGAAATAGTATCAATTAGATTCAAAATGAAATAGGACTTCAACAGGAGAGTGCCCAGGATCCATGGAAAAGATTTCGAGAAAAATGGAAGAGAAAAAAAGGAGAAATACAGGGCCAAGAGAGTCAACTAGTGGGGGGGCCTCCTTGGTGGCTCAGTGGGTTCAGTGCCGCTCTGTGAAGCTGTCCGCAGACTCTTTAGCGTGGTTTCTATTTCTGGCCGGCCAGGGACCCACATAGCACGGCAGACCTTTCCTACCTCTCCCGCTGCACCCCTCAGCAGTGTCTTCGGTCCGTCTGTCTGTTCTGCTCCCCACTCTGTCTCTGGTGAATTCTCTCACCCTCCCGCGCCACTGACCTGTACCCCAGTTCTCGTGTAGATAAATTTAAAAAAAAAAACCTTAAAAAAAAAAGAGAGCGAGTCAACCAGTAGATACTGAGAGGAATTCAGCAAAAGGTATGAGGAAATCTTGAAGCAGGCATGAAGTGAGCAGGCAACGCAAAGCATGAAGATGGTTTATGGAATAAAATAGCTAAACAGTGAGAAAGAGACATAGAAGTTGATGCAGAAAAAGCAGCAGCAGCAGGCAGAGAATGATGAAATATGAACTTGGACACCGTGAATCAGGTATATGAGAAAGAATGTAGAACAAAGTGAAATGAACAGTGACCACTAGGAAGATTGAAAACTTGACTTAGAGATGAGAAAACATTAGTGACTAGGAAAGGTAAAGAATAGTTTGGCCTGAAACAGGCTAAGATCATTGGTTGTATTGGTAAAAAGCACAACAAAATAGATGAAAAATAGACCACGGTTACTGTGGGATAGAAATAATGGTTGGGGAATGGAGGAATGCATAGAAGAATCAGCATTGGTGCAGAGATCGAAAGACACAACTGGAGAAAAAAGGCTAATCTTTGCATAGGGATATACCTTATTTGATGAATACCAGAGGAGCATTAATTCTGAGTTGAGTTCTGGCTTTATAGAATACTCATTAAGCTTTTCTGTGCACAAAAGTAAGGAAAAGCACACAGAATCATTTTCAAATATAGTAATTCCCCAATATCTATAAGAGATGGGTTCTAAGACCACCGGTGGCTGCCTGAAACCATGGATACCACCAAACCCTATATATGCTATATTTTTCCTATACATACATACCTAGAGTTTACAGATAAAACACAATAAGAGGTTAACAGCAACAATAATAAAATTGAACAGTTTTAATGATATACTGGAATAAAAGTTAGTGAACACCCTCAATCCCCTCAAAATATCTTAATGTCAGTGGTGTTTCCAGACAGTGGTTGACTATAGTCACTAAAACAGTAAAAAGAGAAACTCCATTGGGGATTACTGCATTCTAGATTGAGCTGAGAGAATGCTTTAAAAAATGTTTTGAGTTTTTTAATTTTGTTTTTAAACAAAATACTCATGAAATATATTACTGGGAAAATTTTTCACTGGACTAATAATGTCTTTAAGTAGATTTTGTCACAATATCATTTCCCCCTCTCCCTAAATAGATTAACTGACACATCTTGATCTATAAAACCTCAGTCACTTATATATACCAGAGGCTATAGCATTTGAGGAAATTTGATATAAATAGGAATGTCTTCTTCTAACCCATGCAACTTCCACCCTGAAGATAAGAGGGTTTTGTCATAATTGCTAAAGCATTGTGTCCATATTTGCTAAATAGTGTTTATTTGTAAAACTTCCGTAAGCACCTCTCCAGCTGTCCTTTTCTAACTCCAAGACTTAATGTTTCTTCTTCCTGTCCTCTGCTTTTTTAATGTAGCAAGGATCACACAGCAACTACTGCCGGAGCTGCTGGCCTGGCGAGTGGGCACCACCGGGAAGCGTGGACCACCACCAAAGGTCCCTCCTATGAGGACTTATATACTCAGAATGTTGTCATTAACATGGATGACCAAGAAGATCATCGAACCTCACTGGAGGGGAAATCTGCCAAAGAGCGACCCATTTGGTTGAGAGAGAGCACTGTCCAAGGGGCATATGGATCTGAAGAGATGAAGGAAGGTAAGAGTAGAAGTCAGTAAAATGACTGTTTTGGGCTCAGTAGAAACTAGCCTGACTTAGTGGGAAATTGCCTGGGCAATTTATATTTGTATTGGTAACCCACTATTTTCTGTTTTATGAAACCATTGCATTATAGTGGACGTGAGAAATTGGGCAATAAGTCTTCAAATCAGCCACTATGCTATCCTTCAACTTAGTTGAAATAAATAGGCACTTTTAAATGTCTTTTCAGGTTTAAGGACTTACCATCTCTTTATCTTTTTTTCTTTTTTTTTAAGGAATTATTTATGCATGCATGCAAGAACTGGGGTACAGGCCAGAGGTGCCGGTGGTGAGAAAATTTACCAGAGACAGAGGGGGGAGCAGAACAGGCAGAGCTACTGAAATAGACTGTTGAGGGAAGCAGCAGCCAAGACAGGAGAGATCTGCTGCGCCATGTGGGTTGCTCCCTGCCTGGCCTGGGATCAAACTGTCCAGGGATTGATAACTTCACAGTGCTGTGCTTAACCCCTTGTGCCACCAGGGAGGCCTATCTTACTTTTTTAGGAAAGTGTTGTTGTGTACAAGGTATCCAAATTCACCTCTTCTTTATTCTGTTGTCATAACTTAAATGCATTTTTATTTCTCTGAATTGGAAGCCATAACTATAGTGTAAACTTTTTTATATTTCTTTTCATAAATACCAAAGAGTTTATGAAAAAGATTACCACATGAGTGAATAGTCAAGGATTCTCACCATACAAACAGATTGGTGGAATTTTTTATTAGAAGATTTTTAGAAATCTCTGTGAACTCTAAAGTGTTAAAAGTTGCATAATAATCAGAAGTCTAAAAACTTTTGTAAGATTTTAATTTTTAGTCTTAAATTACTGGAATCAAAGACTTTGAGTGATACTTTATGAATAAGTAGTAAATGAGAGGTTAAGGATGGACAAAGGTTACGCAGAAATTGGGAAGCAGGGATGAAAGAGAGTCTTTAGTACTTCTATTAGATTTCATGAGCATCAGAATCTACCTATATCTATTCCCAGATTATATATTATAACCATGTCAACTAATCGTGGTTCTTTAATGCTAAAGAATCAAAAATAGTAACTGAAAACCACTTGTCTTTTTTGGCCTTTCTCCTAACTCCTTTTTCCTTCAGGATTAGCATTTCTTTACTGTGCATAGTTGTACACAGTACAATTTTTTCTTTGAATTTAGAAACAAAGTTGAATAAAATAAAACTATTATTAGCTAATATTATATACAGTTAGTCTCATAATCTTAACATTCTATGTTTACAATTGCTAAATTGATAGAATTTTATTCATAGGGACTTTAAATAAAGTCTTCTGTTCTAGTCAATTCAGTTTTGTGAACATATCTTTCTTATACAATAGGATAGTATGCTGTCTTGTTTAAATTTGTCTTTGTTCGGTTTCATAATAGACTAGTATCTATCCACTGAGTGTGTGAAGTTAGTTACTTGTCCTACATTTATTTTTCCTTAAACCTCAAGTCATTTTAACATGCTTCAGAATTTTATAGACTTCAATCATGTCCTCATTACTATACTGAAAATTCTAATTCCTCTTAGTTCTACTTTCCTTAAAAAGTCCTTTTCCTCAAGCCAACTCCATTTATAGCTTCTATTTTTATTTTGTCTTTTTCTAGACCATCTTCAGTTGTAATATACTTTATTTGAGATCTAATGACCCCAGAACATTATATTCTAATTTTTTTTTTTATGATTTGAGTTTTATTTCCAATATCCTTCTGGTTTTTACCTGACAGTTTATTACTTTGTTTCTGAAAGCATATTAAGACTGATAACTTTAGAAACATCTGCAGGGATTTTTAATACTGTCTTCTACCTTATGCCTGATGGCTTGGGCCATGTTTTTCAGTATATTATTTTCTGTTGGCAGATTTTCTCCTACTTACCACTACAGAAGTAGGTCTGCCCACTTATACAACCTTCAGTTCTTTATTTTTTTTGTTATCAGCTTGGCCTTTAACCATCCAGAATTGCTTAGCATTACCAGTAAACTCGATAATTTCACAGTATATATATTTGTAATTTATAACTCTATTAAATAAGACTATTCCTAGAACTTTTCTACTTTGCCATCTAGAGATTGGTTCATTTATCCTTATTTTTCATTTTTGTCTTTAGCTATAATAGAACAATTCTTCTTTTCCCCAAACTTCTCAAGTTCCCAGACATAAGTCTATTTCATTTAGTTTACAAAACTAAATTACTTTCCATCTAATTATATATTTGCTTTAAACATTAATCAAAATGTTGTGTTGGTAGTATTGAACTATTGGGAATATTCTTTTAGAAGTAGTGATTGCCTTAGAGACTCATGTAACATACACATTCTTTGTCTTTTTCCTAATGAAATACTGCATTCGTAATAAGGTCTGTAGGGAGGAGGTTCGGACTTTGCTGTGTTTTAAAGTAGTTAAGTTTGATTTTATTTCTCGTTTTTACATGCATATTATCAAAAACCTGTTTTATCTGACCTAAGCTTTTGACATCTCAATACTAGCTTCCCTTTCTCTTCTCTGCCAATATCTTACCTCAGAATTTCTGTGTTCTCTAAAAATGTTCAGGATTACAGTTAATCCATTTGAATGAGTTAACAAGAAGGTTCTTTCGCTTCATCTGTGGTCAGAATTGATCAGAATTGGTCAGTCTAATTATAGACAACACTAAGTGCCAGGGCTATTCTAAGCATTTTATAGATATTCTCCATAGCCCCACAATAATCCAATATCATTTATTTGACCAATATCATTGGTCATATCATACAGCTAATGAATTTTAGTTGTTGGGCTTTGAATCAAGAAGTCAACACTTTTAATCCTGTTACAGATTTTAAATGGTAGTGTATTTGGTATTACTTTCAGAATATAGATTACGAATGTTTTTCTTAAGTTTTTCATCTGTTACGTATCAGGCAAGATGTGTACAAAAAAAGATAGGAGGGGACCTCCCTGGTGGCTCAAGGGGTTAAGCACAGCACTGTGAAGCTATTTGCAGCCTCTGCAGCACGAGTTCGATCCCTGGCCAGCTAGGGAGCTACCCACGTGGCTCAGCAGACCTCTCCTCTCTCTCCTGCTTCTCCCCTCAGCAGTGTATTTCAGTAGATCTGCTTGTTCTGTTCCCCACTCTGTCTCTGGTGAGTCCTCTTACCCCTGCATCTCTGGCCTGTACCCCAGCTCTTGTATGCATAAATAAATCCTTTTTTTAAAAAATGATAGGAGGTATGTGGTAAGAAAAATTTCATTTCTGATACTCTGTTTCCTTTTATAAAAAGTTTCTTGGTTTGCTCCAGGAAAACAAAACTGTCATATATTCAATCATTCAGCAAATGTTTTTTCAATGCCTAGCAAGTAATTAGTACTATTCTGGGTGCATGGCAAAGATCACAGAATAAAAGATAAATATCTATTGTGGAGACTCTACTTCCTGGGAAAGGGGTGACAAAAAGGCAATAGGCATAAGTCATTTGTTTATTTTTAAATTGTGGTAATATTAGGATAACCTTCATCACCAATATAGGGTACCCACCACAAATTCCCCATAGTCTATCACCGTGGTCCATTGTGCTTCCTTCCCTCTTGGTTCTTACTCCTTCACCAACCCTTTCCCCCTTTGGATATTTCAGTACTTTAGTATGAATCAGTTATTACATTAGAAAATAAGTTCAATGGCAAAAAAAAAAAGCATTGGGAATGTAAGAGTGATGGTGAATTAAAAGAAGGTGACGTTCGGGAAAAGACATATGAAAGACAAAAGGGACTTAGCTGTGTGGATACCTAGAGGTCATTGTAGGGCCTTTGATATTTAGTCTGAGTCAAGAGAAGCCATGTTTTGATTTCCTTTTATACCACCTACTATATTTGGTCCTTCATAGATATTATTTCATAGGTCCTTATCCAGAGCCCTAGAAAATACGTGGTTTTATCACTCCCTTTTACAGAAAAAGCTACCAAAGTTTAGAGACTAAGTTAATTTCCCAAATTGGTATACTTTCCATGTGAAGAACCAGGATTCAAATCCAGGCTATATGACTCTTAAAACGTAACTACCCAACCACTATGTTACTTAAATTCCAGTTTGTAAGATTCATTTGGAATAGGCTATGGACAGTAGTGCAAAAATGGAACCAGTGAAGTGTTTCTTATATTATCTTAATTTATATCTAAATATGTTAAAAATAAGTTTTATTAGTTATCAGGAATGCCTTTTATATTTGAGGTTATTGACTTACTGGTTTTTCCCTTCCAGGTGGCCTAGATATAGATTCATTTCAGGAGCGTGAGGAAGGCCGTGCAGGGCCGGATGATAATGAGGAGGTCATGCGAGCACTGCTTATTCATGAGAAGAAGACCCCCTCTGCCACAGCAGGCTCAGTGGGGGCGGCAGCTCCTGTGACTGCTGCTAATGGCAGTGACTCGGAAAGTGAGACCAGTGAGTCAGATGATGACACACCACCCCGACCAGCAGCTGTGGCTGTGCACCATCGGGAAGAAGATGAGGAGGATGATGAATTTGAAGAAGTAGCAGATGACCCTATTGTCATGGTGGCTGGCCGTTCCTTCTCCTACAGTGAAGTGAGCCAGCGGCCAGAGCTGGTGGCCCAGATGACACCAGAGGAAAAGGAAGCATACATAGCAATGGGACAACGCGTGTTTCAGGACCTCTTTGAGTGAGCTATCCCTGATTTTTCCTTCTTTCTCTAATACTCATTTCAAAAAGAAATTCCCTACCTTTGAAGAGAAATGTTTAAGTGGCTTTCTGCCCTTCTTGATGTAAAGTGACTATTAATTTGCGCAAAGAATAATGGGAGAGAAAGTTTCATTTTTATACCAGAAACTTCCCAGCAAGGTAGGTTGCTATAATCACTCTTTCTCTACTAGTATTATAGTACTTTTTTTACTATATTTCCCTACCTAATCTTTTTCCTTTATCTTCTTTTTAAAATGTCTGCATGCAAAAGCCCACCTTGATGGGTTGCAGTAATTCTGAGCAAGCATTCTGAACATTGTTTTCAACCGAAGCAGCTTGCCAATAGACAAATTGAGCGGGGGGAGGGCAGAAATTTGAAAACTTCATACTGCCTCACATTTGAAAGTGGAATCAATAAGGAAGGAGAAGTGGGAGTGTTTGTGTTTAATGCCTTTTTGATTTGGATTTTGGATGCTAAAAAAACAGAAAATTGTTTGATAAATCTGTATGAAGAAATTAGAAAAGTAGACATAAGACAAGGAGTCCATGTAAAAGTTGAGGAGTGGAGAACATTAGGAACAATGCCTTTTGAGTTTGTGCTGATTTGGAAATTGAGACTCGTCCCCCATTTTCCTTTTTTACAGACCTCTTGTCATTGCCATAAATTATTTAATGAGGCCATTTCAGCAGAAAAGAGCATATAACAACATTTGGTTGCTCCGTTCTTCCTGCCACCCTCAAAACTATTAAAGGCCTATTTTGTTTCTCGATTCCTATCTTTTAGACTCCATCCAGGGTTTGTTGAGCATTGCAACCTCAAGGAACATTACTTTTGATTTTGATATGTAGCGTAGTCTATTCCTTAAAGCAGAACTTTAAAAATAAAGAATTTCCATACAAGAAACTATCTATAACAATGTGTTTTTGTAATATTTTCCCTTGTAATGTAATTTTTTAAGTATTTATCATTTTGTATGTGAGTGAAGATAGATTTTAGAGTACCTCTGCCTTGTATGAAATAATGTTCAGTGAGTTTGTATTAATGACTGAATATTGACAATAAACTTATTTTTTCCATCTGAAAGTAAATATATATATATATATATATATGTATATTTTAGAAATACTTCTTACCCATACACCTGTACAGTTTCAGGTGTATAGCATTATAATTTGACATCTGCATATACTTTATTATAATCACCACCAAAAATCTACTTTCCATCCACCATGAAAATCTATATTATGCTGACTGGAACTTGTTAATTTCTAGCTCTGTGATATCTTGGAGCATAAGTAGAATGAATACTCTTCCCATTAAAAAAATGTCTCAGACTTTTTTATTAGTCATGTTTCAAGTAATAGATACCATTGTGTGTGGTCTAAACTTTTTTATGACAATACATAGTTTTAAGAATGACTTTTATGTATGTACCTTGTACATAAGGGGCTAGTCAACTTTTAAACAGTTTGTTAGACTTCCATAGTTGTAGAAGTTCATTTAAAAAATAAAATATTAATCAGATGTTAAGTTTTAAAAACATGATTGTAGGCGAGCTGTTAGCTCTTTATTCCGATGAGTAAATATTTCTCAGTTTTTTCTTGAATCTAATTTGCATGTTTTATTTTCTAAAACAACTATTCTATTGCTTGCCATTATCTACCAGTTTCTTAGTCATATAGCCTAGTTGTGTATTTCTTTTGTCACCCTCTTGTAGTCTTGCAGCAATACTGAAACAGATTTCTCTCTCCAGTCTTAAGTGTCCATCCTACCACCTCAATCTTTAACTGTTCTTCAGTATGTGTTTCTCTTTGAAACATTTTTCATCTAGAGAAACAACTCTGAATTCATATTCAAAATTAATCTAAAAATATGATTTAATATGTAGAATTTTGGATATTACTCCTTTATCTCAATAACTTACCTAATGATGTGATAGTTTGAAATGTCATGATCTGGTGGTTTCTCTCTTTTGAGTGGGATAATTATCTGATGAGAGAAAGACCAGTCAGTGACAGAATAACCCAAAATGAGGTTCCTGCCAGTTAGCCAGCATCTAGTAAGAGCAGGCTCACACACAAGATCTCTTGATATATGTAGTCACAGTATCTGTTGACCTCACCACAGCAAGAGTTGTCACACCTTCTGTAATAAGGGATGGCCAGGAACTCATTTTCTCTGAGTGAAGGTTGACTCTTGTAGTATAACTCAATTATCAGCTGCCCAGATGTCCTGACCTTTCCACTGTCCTTTAAAATTTAAATTGAACTTTTTTTATACTAATGTCATGCAATACTTATTATTTCTTTTGAGGGGACAACGGGGTTGGTGGTTTATGTTCTCCTGTTTTGTCTCCCTACTTCCTGGTTTCTCTACCTCTACTCCCCACTACCCACTTCCACAGAACCATCAACGTAAGTCTGTAGCAGAGCTTCACTGAGGTTTTAGGGTAATGGGGAGTGGGGGACAGGCAACAAGAGGGACTAGTGTCAACACTGTAGTCATGGAATAGAAGAGTCGATGGTGTGCACCCTTGTTTTTGTTTGTTTTCTTTTTAGTTATATCCAAAAAAGTTAGGTTTATTAGAAGAAAGGAAGGGAGAATAAGATGTTTGCACAGATACAAGCAGGCAGAAAGAGCTGTTGCACCCTTGTTCTTGCAGATTCTGCCACTCTTCCAGTTAGAATCCTTCCTCCAAATCTTTCTAAAGCTTCAACTTCCGTTTTCCTTCTCTTCCTCACCCCTTTCCTTCCAAAGTCCTTGGAAAGTTGTATTAGAAAAAAATACTTGGTTCTTTATTTTATTCCTATTGCAAATAGTGCCTTGAATACTCATATTATATCCAAAGAGATCTATCAAGATGTTTTCCTAACCAAGGAACCATCTGTCACCTCTAGGAGGATTAACAAGAAACTTTTTTCTCTTCCCACTACATTTAAAAACATTACCCATTTTACTTTGCCAGAAGATGATGAATAAACCACCCTGGCCCTAAGTTGGTGACCCATAACCTTGTATCTGGTAAGAAATTGTTTTATTTGTATCTGCTCTTAAAGTTGAAGCCTTATTCTTCAAGGCCCCCTTTTACCAAAACACCATAAGATATAGTAAATTGAAATGATTAAAAGAAAATAACCAATTTGGTTTAGCCTGAAATTTCAGGAGAAGACAAGGTTCTAGTCTCAGCTTTAGCCAACTCTACACTTGTACTATAACACTATTAATCTGATATAATCTCTCTGGGTCCATTTCTCAGCTGTCCATAATCAGACTTTTGCTGGTAGCACCAATGATTCCTTTCTGCTCTAATATTTTACAGAGGTATATGGTAGATAATAGATTTTAAAATGAGGTCAAACTAAAAAAAAAAAACCACAAAAATCAGAATCTTCTGATATGCTACAGCCAATGAAATCCTGTGAAGAATATTTTAATTGAATGAGTAGTGTAGGTGCCTTGTTTAGGATTTAGAATGTAGTAAAACAAAGTATAGCAATGACTGATTGTGTTTTATAAGGTACTTCATTTCTAATAATGTTGAGGAAGAAATAATTGAATTTTTCATAACTCTTTTGGTATTGTTTTGAGAGAGTTGGACACTGAATAAGAACAAGATTGGGAAGAACAGTTCATTTTCTTTTCTACCAGTTGGCTCTATGGCTTGATTCCCAGCCAGGACCACAATAGAAAGACTTACATATGTACTTTTTGGTGCTCTTTATTCTGGACTTTAAATAAAGTAACTAAGAAATGTCAATCAAAACAAGTATGACAATTTTTAGAATTTAGAAATTGGTGTAATTCCACCTTATATTTGTTCCCAACAAAGTTATTTCACATATGTTGTTTCTAGCAGAGGTGGGCTACTATCCTTGGTTTTTAAATATATATATTAAAAAAATCTCTTGGGAAGTGAAGATTTTTCAGAAGAAACTGGCACTATGGTAAATTTACTATCCTGTTGACTTTATGTTATAAAAGAAGGAAAATAAACTGAACAAGGCAAGTATAGGTAAACAAGTGAAGCCAAGTGCATTGGGAAGTGAAAAAAATTGTGAAATTTCCACCTCTTCCTTTGCAGAACTAAAAGAATGAACTAATTCTAGTGTGCCCTGAAGGGAAGGAATGTATACCTTAGCTTCTCTTTAAAAACAACTTCAAATCCTTCTGAGTTCTAGTGGCTAACTTTCCTGTTTTCATTTGTGAGGCGTGCAGTCCTAGTACACGACCCAGTTTCAAAAGTCAATGCACGTTTCCCATGACACACTTACCTAGTATAAATAAGTCTGAGAAATGAGTCTGGTAGAAGTCTGGTCCCAGGTCCTAAAGTGCATTGAATTATTTTAAGGCAGACATGGTGGTTGTGCAGTTTTTGTTATTGTTGCTGTGTCTAGGCTTTGGTTATTTAAAAATCCATCCAATAGAAAAAAATAGATAACAAGAAAACTCTCCACCCAGTCCACCACATCTCACTACCCCAAAGTAAACATTATCAATAGACTTTTTATAGACCGTTAGTCTTTTTATAGACTTTTTATAGACCTTTAGAAGCAGCATACCTACAGATATATACTGCATTGCTTTTTAAGTTAATGTAATCATACACACATTGCTACTTGAGTTTTAAGTATCTTGGAGGTCTTTCATTATCAGTAAATTTAGATCTGCTTCATTTTTAGAAATAAAGACTAGTTAGAATTTTATAACATAATTTTATGATCGTTTATGTAATAAGTTTCCAGTTTTCACTATTAAAGTGCTGTAATGAACTACCTTCACATTTTATTTTCTTGAGTATTTCTATTTCTGTAGGATAGATCATGAAAGAGTAATAGCTAACCAAAATGCATATCTGTGTTAAACTTTGACAGATATTACTGTTCAAAAAGATCCCTGAATTTTAAATAGGGGGACAATTTGTAGTGTAGATGCTGGAGATTATTAAAGCCATTTCAGTACACTTATGAGTAATTCGATCTGAAGACCCATTTTAAATCAGTGGAAGATGGAAAGGAGAGGACAGATTTGAGAAGCTTTAGGGAGGTAGAATTAATGGATTTGGTGACTGGATAGGACAATACCTTGCAGAAGTGTGGGTTTCTGATAGGAGAATGATTCTATTTATCACAATTGGAAATAGAAGAGGAAGGTTTTGCTCTTATTTCAGCTCTCCAACTCAGTAAATGGCACCACCATTTCACCTACAAGTCTATAGTTGGTCATCTTTTCTTTTTTTCATTGAACATCTCATTCATCAAGTTCTGTCAGACTTAAAATATACTCTAATTTGTAAAATCTAATTTTGAAGATAGAGATGACAGAATTTGCTGATAAATGGAAAATGTATTCTAAATCTGACCCCATTACTTCCACCACTACCAACCTAATCCAAACCACATCAACTCTCACCTTGGCTGGGGCAGCAGCCTCCTTACTGGTTTTCTACATCTACTCTTAACCATCTCATACACCCCCACCCATACAGGATTTTGACCATTCCCCACAAATACAGTATTTTTAAAAATGTAAATCAGGTGATGTCACACACATACACCACTCCCTTATTCTTTGTTCCTTAGAATAATATCTAAACTCCGTACACCTTTTTGTAGACCCTAAGTGATCTGGTCCCTAAGTACTTTTATGACCACATTTACTATTGTCCTTGTTAACTGCTCCTAACTACTCTAACTACTTTGCCATTCTCTCTGTGTGGCAAGTAAGTGGTTTTTCTTACCTTAGGTTTTTGCTGAAACTGTATTCTCTGGTAAAAGACTCTCCCCACTCTTGTTACTTTATTTTCAGCTCAAATGACACTTTCTCAGAGAAGCCCTATCCAAAGTAGTTACCTCTCTATTCATGGTTACTTTTTTTTCTTTGTGGGACCCTCACCGGTGGCCCGGAAACGAACCGGCACTTGCAGCCCAGCACTCAACTGCTGTGCCACCAGGGAAGGCCCTACATTTTTTTTTTAAATAGAAAAATTCCTATTTGAAATGAACTTCTTTATTTCTTATTTAACTATGTCAATCTTTCCTACCCAAAACTAAGCTCCCCGAGGTCAGGCTATTAGCATATAAAATTAATTCTGGCACATAGTAGGTTTGCAATACATGTTGAATGATAGATGGAAAGATGTATTGGCAGTTGGAGAACAGAGTCTTTTTCCACCAAGGCTGATTATTGTTCCTGCCTGAATTGCGAAAATAAATATTTTCTCAATCAGTTAATTATGTTCACTTGTATAGTCCCTTGTACCTAGGGCTGTGTCTCCTTGGCTGCAGCCAGTGAGACCTAGAAGATTCAATTCTGGGAAGCCATTAGCTTTAATGTTTGTGGGAAAAAAGTATTTAGTGAGTACTTTATTTAGGGCTGCACTGTCCAATGAGGCGCCACTCCTGTTGCTATTGCGTGCTTGAAATGTATCTACTCCAGATTGAGAGATGCTATAAATATAAACACACAGCAAATTATGAAGACTTGGTATGGGAATAAAAAAGGTAAAATATCTAATTTTTTATACTGATTTTGTGTTGAAAAGATAATGCTATAGGTATTGGATTAGAAGAAATACACTATTTAAAACAAATCACCTGTTTGTTTTTACTGCTTTTTATGTGGCTATTAATTTAAAACAGCATATATGTTGCTTGCATTATATTTCTGTTGGACAGCATCTTTTCTTTAGGTGCTAGAGTTACATGTATTATACTTTGTGATTATTTGCATTTTTTCTCATATACAAGTTTTTGAATGCTGTACCTTACACTCCTCTTCTCTACCAGAAAGGTAGGCTTTGTTTTGTTTGTAGGCTCATAGTTCTTGGGAACAATAATGGATTTTGCTTATGTTTAATTTTTCCCCTTTTGGGAATGGGAGTGAGCTGGGTGAGGTATTTTGTGCTTCTTTGCTTGCTTTTGTTTTCCTGAAGAGGCAAATGTAGGGATAATGTTAGCATTAGAACTGATGTTAGTTAGAACTGATAATTTGTCAACTACTGAGATCAATGGTGTGATGTTGAAAGTACTGCTGACTCCTAGGTGACTGAGGAACCCAAGCACCCTGCAAAGCCATTCTGGAGATGGAGGAGCTAAGGCCAGTGCTGAATCAGGAGAGTTGGAAGCCCAATATGTTGCTCAGTATGTGTTATATTAATATATAGTATATGTGAAACTGCTCATGTGTTTATTTTCTGTATCTCCTCCTCACTAGAATGTAAGCTCTATGAGGGCAGAGAATTGATCTTTCTTCTTCAGTGTAGTTGTATTCTGGTTCATATTCCTGGCTCAATCCTTGGCACATAGTAAGTAAACATCAATATATATAAAATGGGGCCTCCCTGGAGGCGCAAGGGCTTAAGACGCAACTTATGAAGCTGTCCGCAGCCTCTGCAGCACGAGTTCGATCCCTCGGCAGGCCAGGGAGCAACCCACATGGCGCAGCAGACCTCTCCTGACTCGCCTGCTGCTCCCCTCAGCAATGTGCTTTGGTCATTTTGCCAGTTCTGTTCCCCACTCTGTCTCTGGTGATTCCTTTTACCCCCCACACCTCTGACTTGTACCCCACCTCTTGTATGCATAAATAAATAAATCTTTAAAAAAAAAAGCTTTACTATAAAAAAAATATATATATAAAATGAATAAACAATGTGGCAGTTTCTTAAGGTCACAAATACTGTGGCCTTTGTATCTTTTGATAGTAATTCTTAGTTTCTATTACATGTGTACTTAATGTTTATGATGCTATTTTATATTAATTATTTTCCTGTTTGGAATACTTACAGATGGTGAGTGCTGATCTTCGTAACAAAGGGCATTTTTCCAGCAACTGATGAAACCACCTAACCAAAAGTACATCTAACACACACATCTAACCCAAGGCTTGCATGTGAATTTGTTCTCTTAGTCTATGTTAACGTCATTCTTTAAAGAGAAAAATTGTAAAGGACAAAGATTGTGCTAATTTCTTCAGCAAGAGGTTTTATTTGTCTCATAATAAAATTGTTGGTACTGTGACTGCCTTCACGATATCAAAGACCCAGATTTCTTTTATCTTTATCCTCAGCCATTTCTTTTATCTTGGCAAATGTTTGTTGCTTCATGGTCATAAAAACTGACTCACTTTCATCTAGAAAGAAGTAGCATTTTAGTGGGATAAATTCACTGACTAGCTAAGTCAGTGTCCTCCCTTTTTTGTTTTTGGACTTTTTAATTGTGAAATTTACATGCCACAAAATAACCAGTTTTAAGTGAACAATTCGGTGGTATTTAGTACATTTAGTGCATTCACAATATTGTACACCTACCCTCTCTATCCAGTTAAAACATTTTCATCACCCCGAGAGAAAATCCAATACCCATTAAGTAGGCCCTTTCCCAGACCTTGGCAGCCACCAGTTTTCTTTCTGTCTCCAGAAGAGATATTTTCAAAGTTTATCCATGTGTGGAATGTATCAAGACTTTTTTTGATTTTTATGACTAATTCAGTTGTGTTATTATATACACAATTTGTTTATCCATTCAGCTGTTGATGGATGTTTTTGTGTTTTGGTTATTTTATTACTATTCTTTTGATTATGTTATTTCTTTTTAAAGTATTATCTTTCCCAACACTGTATAGTAATTACTGTCATTCAGTGGGAAGTAGACAGGGCCTTGTAACCAAGATACTTGTTTTGGATGTGAAAGTCAACAGAGAATACCATAACTCTAGGGGTTGTGAAGAGGACCTTTCCCGTTAAGAATTCAAGGTAAGAATGAGGTAAGAATTTAAGAGTCCTGAATTTTCTTTCCTGAAGGAATTAGCTTCTCTGAGTTCCCCTCTATCTCCATTCCTGAGCTTCAGATTCTAAGTTCTAGCATAGGCTCATCTCCATCTTCCAGAGCCCTAACCTAAATTGTGATCTCTGTGCTCCAGGTCTCTGTCACTGTCAAACCATTAAGTCCAAGGCCAGAAGTGTGCAAATAACTTCATTCAGTGAAGCATGATGTGAGACCCTTCTCTCTGAACATCCTTGGAAGTGTACCAATATCCAGGGTAGTGGTGATAGCAATTATTAGGATTCAGAAGATGGATTCAGAACAAAAGTGCTTTGCACATGTATTTGCTCAGTATGAAGTCAGGTTAATCAGCCCTGTTCCATCGGCTTTAAGACAGGAGGCTGGCAGCTTTTCATTTCAGGGTAGTGACCTAACTAGGAAGTATAAAGAATTCTCACAATGTTCCCAGAGAATCCTTCCCTGCTGTTACATGCCTATATGCAGGTATAATACCTGTGTAGGAGGGTAGAAAAAAGGCAAGACAGGGTGGGTCTTTATGTTTAGTGGGTAGGTGGAGAGGACCTACCACGCTGTGTATGTCAGTCACTTATAACATCTCTGACAGGCTATAACTTCTAGTAAATTTAGTGATAATTTCTTTGCTGCTCTTTTCTACTGCCACTCATTAAGCTATAAAATTATGGCAATGCTATGAGTATCTCTGCTCACATCTGCATTAGTCTAACTCCTTCAAGATTGACACCATCTATATCCTCTCCCCCTCTCCCAAGTGGAACAAAAATACCAAGCAGAGCACTAACTGAAATTCTGTGACAGTGTTTGCTTTGTCCTCCTAAACTACTGTGACTCAAAGACTGCATTGGTTATTGCAAATTTTTAAATATATCCTCATTATGTTTTGAAAGACAGATCTCTGATAGCACCTCTATCATTACACCACCTTCTCACCCCTCAAAGTGCACTGGCTAAGTCCTCTGAGATTTTTTTTTCACCTAAACTTTCATTAAACGCTCTGACGAGCACCACTTCAGTTAAGGAGACAAGTTGAAAGAAGTTTATGATGCTTTGCCAATATATTTATAGTCACTGCTGGGACTGAAAACCAAGTCTCTTGGTTGCAAATGTGAAAGAGTTCTTTCTTTTATATTGTGTTGTGTCCCCTGGGTAGAAACATGACTCTAATGTAAACTCACACTCTCTTCTCCCATAGAGACCTCTATTCTCTAATACCTGTAGGCCCGGTGGGACAGAAGGCCACATTTCTGTTTCAGTATCTCTTTCAGATTGGTTGTCTTACATTTTCCATCATCTGGATTCCATTTTACCTCTCTGTAGCTGTTGCCACATGCCTTTGTTACTGTCATAGGTTACTTCTCAAGGCTTTTACCTAATTTAAGAGTGTAACTGGCTCTAGGTTATGTCATCACTTTGGCCCCACTGCCTACTTGAGAATTCCTTGACTTCAACTCTTCAACCTCTTTAACATCCAAGGCCTTCCACAAAGCCCTCAAATCATTGATCATTCCTACAAATCACCCTGATCTGCTTTCCTTATGCTCCCAAGCCCAGACTGGGGAGTACAGCACAAAGACACTGCTTATGCACTACTGGCCTGCTGCCTATTTTCATCTGGACCTTTTCTATTACACAGACATCTAGATTGTTAACATTGCTTGCAATCTACAACCTACAGTGGTTGCTTCCCTCAACCTTTGCCAATTGTTCACGTTCATGCTTTTGCCATTTCTTTGATGTCTGTGATCAGTTTGCCCTCATAGATCTTCTGTAATAAGCATTATTTGTTGCCTAATCATTATCCCTTCCTTATAGTACCTGATTTTTGCTATGGAATCCTCTTTCCAAGGATGTACATATACTTTAGGAGAACTTAACTCTGTAGACATCTATATAGTTAGTCCTAATTGAGTCACGGATAAATTGTAGTAGTATTTGGGCTATTCACAAATAGTCTACTTCTAGACATGTGGTATGATTACATTTCCTAGCTTGAAGTTAGGTGTGACCATGTGACTTGCCAAGTGTGAGAAGTGATAATGTAATTTCTAGATGGATGCTTTTTTAAAAGCCAGTGTATAATTCATCAGGTCCCTTCCCCCCTGCTGCACTGATTGCTTAAAAGCTGGGTCAAGATGAAGCTTCTGGGGCCCCCCTGGTGGCACAAGAGGTTAAGCTTCAGCACTAGGAAGCAACCTGCAGCCACTACAGCATGAGTTCAATCCCCAGCCAGGGAGGTGGCCCACATGGCACAGCAAACCTGACTTGCCTGCCGCGCCCCTCAACGGTATATCAGTAGACCTGCCTGTTCTCCCCACTCTGTCTCTGGTGAATCCTCTCACCCCTCCCCCTTGCACTTCTGGCCTGTACTCCAGGTCTTGTATGCATATATAGATAAATCTTTTTAAAAAAACACAAGATGAAGCTTCCATCAGAGTGAGTCCCAGGGTCACAACAATTGTGCTCTCCTTCCCGACTTACACTGCCATGTAGTGAGAACAAGAAATAATTTTTGCTGAATCAAGCCACTCAGATTTGGAGGTTGGCTGTTATTGCAGTATGAGCAGGTCATCTTAACTAATAGTGTTATCTTCCCCTTTACCCAGTGCCTGGACCAAGAACCTTCTCTAACTCAAGCAGTCTGTGGCATTCCTTGGTCAAGAAATTGAGGAAAGGGCTTGTGATTCTGTTGGTACACTGAAGTGAGGAAAGATTTGCAAAGGCTTGGAGGAAAGACATTTCCTTAATTTTTAAGAGAATCATCAGTAGGAATGGACTCTTCCTTTGGATGTTATGTTAAATGTGAAGCCTGGAATTACACAGTCATCTTGCTACCAACCTGAGAATAAAGCCAATGCAGGATAATAACATAGAAATGAAGCCAATGGCCTGATTGAATCATAAGCAATCATTGCCCTACTGCTGAAATGTTTCAGTTAGAAAAACCTATAGATCTCCACTACAGTTTAAGCCTTTGAGTTGGGTTTTCTCCAAAAGCAACTTAACTTTCTTTCAGTTCTTATCTCTATTTCCATTCTATCCAGTCTCAAGAAAAATACCTAATGATAGCATCTATTTATAGAATACTTAACATGTATGACATTACGCTAAGTGTTTTCTAGAGAGGTTTTGATTCCATTTCAGATAGCAAATGTGTATAAGTTCCTTGAGAGCAGGAATCTTTTCTTATATATGCTTTCCCCACAGTGTTGATTTGGTGCAAAGTAGGTGCTTGGCAAATACTGATTAAATGGTCAATATACTTAATTGTATTGACATTTAAAAGCTCAAATGTAAATTGAGCTTTACCTATAAAGATCTTACTATATTAATGACTATCAAGTCCGAAATATAATAGACCAATACGAGACAGTGAAAGATACAAGGTACTAAACTGACATTCCAAAATGCATATTATAAAGGAGTCTTATTATTTCCTGAAGGTTGGGAATGAAAAGCATTTGGACAAGGGCAGAAAAAATCAAAATCAGGTGAGTATAGCAGAGAGGGGAAGCAGATATCATTTAAAGTTAGAGTAAGAGCAATAACAAACAGCAGCATGGTATCAAGAACATGGTGTATTGAAGAGCATTTAAAACACTCAAGATGCTCAATAAATTTTAGATCTTTTATTTCATTTCTCTCATGAGACACAGTAGTCATTTTCCCTTGAATTGTATGATGTAGGTTTGATATAAGAGGTGTGGCCAATGCCCTACTGCCCAAAGCAGGCCCATCGCACAAAGCAATCAAAGATATTTGTAAAATTATAAAGACATCCATCCATGCACTATTTCTCCCCAGAGAATGAAGCTTCTGAGGGCTTGGCTGTCAAGCATTCTTCTTTTCTGGCTGTTTTAACTCAATGCTGGGCCCGCAATGGTACACAATAGTCCTTTAGTTAAATACTTGTTCAAATTACCTGGTTGGGGAAAAAGTTACTTGCCTAGCGAGCCTGGTTTCAGTACATCAACACTTCAAACCTCTGTGAGATGAGATTCTCAATAGGGTATCTTAAATACATGCTATTAAAATACCTAAATAGAAGTCCCATCTGTTTGAATAGACTGAGCCTGATGAATCAGCCAGAGGTGGGAGGCTGATCCAACCAGACATGAACCATTGGGTGGGGAACAGGCAGCTCTCTTTCCCCTTGCCACCCCAGAGCGCTTGCATGAGAACATAAAGATTTGTAAAGAGAAAACTGGATCAGCCAATTAGCTAAACATGCAAGTCGTGGAGCAGTGTCTGTAGGTTAATGCCTGACAGGAGCCCCTATCCCAGCTGTGGGTCATGCTGAAGTCAAAGAAGGAGGAAGAGGAGTCCAGGGACTTGTCCCTTTCATGTTATAATTCCTGGGCTTCTGGGATCTAGATTTTGTTTTCACGCAATTGTAAAAATTTGAAAACAATTTATTTTGGGAACTGTCACTGGTGCAGTCATCGAGAACTTAAAGACCTAAGATAAAATACAGCGACAGGAAACTTGAGGAAGCTGCATCGTTTTCAATTTCCGTCAGAAGAATTTTGCACAGATATCTATCCCTGATGAGATGCCATCAAGTCCACATTTCCAAACTGTTCTTGACTGCCAGAATCTTAATCATAGTTTCTCAACTACTTTACTCTCCCTTTCCCCAACTCTC